TCAAGTTCTTTTAGGAAGCCAATTTCATCTTGCAGTTCAGCAATGTGTGACATCGTTACATCAGTTTGTGCAGCAGCACTTAAAGAATGTTGCATATCTTCGTACTCAGCGTCAAGCATAGCTTCTAAGTCTGCAACCTTCTTTTTTGACTCAATATTTTGAGCTTCAAGAGATGGTTTAGGGCTCTCTGATCTTCCTAGGTTCTTCAGTTGAGTACGCAGCATCTCTATTTCTGACTCGTATGTTTTTAGTCTTTTTATTATTTTTTTTCCAGAAAATCGAGTCTGTATTGCAAGTCGATGAAATTCTTGCGCTTTTTGAGAATTTTTTTGAACTCTTTCTATTTCTTCGTTGTACGCATCCGTTACTTGGCGGAGTTCCTGACTGTAACGATCGAATTTAGAATTGGCTTCTGTGAGCTGTTTCTTCAGGTCCAAAATCTCCAGCTGATTATCTAGTTTAGTGAATTCTCTAAGCTCATGAAAGATTCTTCCAGTTCTTTGAGTTGTCTTTTAAGTACACTTGCACGTCTTCAGCTATCACAGATTCTGCTTCGGCTAGTGCCTCCTCATATGTCTCTTCTTGAATAGGCCCATTTCACGTCCGGATGATTCTTCTTTGGGTGGATAATTTTCAATGGCATATACCCTAGGGATGCTTTTTTTAGGTGATACGTTGCCATAGTGTCCAAAAGTATGACGTCTTAATGTTTTTTTCGGTGTTGATGCCGAGGCTCCCATTTGAAAGCGCCCGACAAGATACTTCCGTTTTTAGTCTTTCTATCTCGAGCAGATACTCTTGTTTGCTTTTATCCATCTCTTTTAGCTTAATTGCCTGCTTTTTTGAGCCGAGTTTCGAGATCGCGAGTCAAGTTCTGATATCCTTGAAGTGTCTCTTCTGTAGCTGACAAGATGTTTACTTTCGTTTTATTTTTGACAGTTTTAGTGCTTTGGGCGAATTCTGGTGTAGTCTCTCCTCCTCTGCAGCTAAAGTAACATTCCCGATAATCAATGATTTGGCATTACCGCCAAGAGCCTGTGAGAGCAGTCTAGTCAATTTCGAATCGCGATAACTGATAAACTCCTTCCCCTCGCTTAGTTGCCTTATCACATTTCCTAATACTGACAAAGATTTGTTTATGTTAGCCCCCTCTTTAAGACGCTCACCAGCAGCTTTCGTCAGAGAAACTCTCTCAGAACCAGCTAAGTCCATTAAGTTAAGGTAGCTTATAGTACAGGTCCATCTTCTGATTGGCATCTTTCGACTCCAGAATAATCCGGAAAATCGTGTGTGATCGAGATGACCTCTCATTCATGCGAGTAGCTGCAACTCGTCTGATCTTATTGCCCTGCATCATGTTCTCCATAACTTTATCAACATTGTCTACGACAGCTTCCCTTGCATCAAGCAGCACATTTCCTTTGATATCTTCTCTTATAGTTAAACCCTGATTGCTCTTATCCAGGAGGTCATTGATCTTTTCATTGTAGATTTCAATATAACTGCATCTAATCAAGTACCTCTTATCAACCTGGTCTGCCACATGCTGGAATAACTGATTGGATACTAATTGGAAAAGCCCAGGATCTGTTTTATTGCCCAAAATGGTGTGTGTTTTGCCAGAAGATGTTTGGCCATATGCAAATATTGTGGCATTGAAACCTTCCATGAAGAATCGACTAAAGGTTTTACTACAGATCCATATACATCTGAATTTGTACATTCCTGCTTAAATACATGGTCGAATATATAAACCTCTCCATGGCGACTACTTTCATCGGCTTCCCATATGCAGTTTACTCTTACGTTCCAAAGACGCTCTAGACCATCGGCTACTTCGCGGTGGATCATTGGTCTGATCTTTGTGGCTACTTTAATATTGTCGGAAGTCATTTTGGAAGCTTGAACTGAAATTTAATTAGAACTAGGGCTATTTCACGGGTTATAAAGAGGGCACTTTTCATAATCCAGATTTCGTTTTGGCATTCCAGTTCAGCCATTTGATCCTGAAGCTCTTTTATAGTAGAATCATTATGGCATCGTATATCTGAGATTTTAAATGAGTGGTTGACCTCACGTTGGTTACTCTCGTCCATCAGACTCTTTACGTCATTTCTCAGTTTAGATTCAAGTTCTTTTAGGAAGCCAATTTCATCTTGCAGTTCAGCAATGTGTGACATCGTTACATCAGTTTGTGTAGCAGCACTTAAAGAATCTTGCATATCTTCGTACTCAGCGTCAAGCATAGCTTCTAAGTCTGCAACCTTCTTTTTTGACTCAATATTTGAGCTTCAAGAGATGGTCTAGGCTCTCTGATCTTCCTAGGTTCTTCAGTTGAGTACGCAGCATCTCTATTTCTGACTCGTATGTTTTTAGTCTTTTTATTATTTTTTTCCAGAAAATCGAGTCTGTATTGCAAGTCGATGAAATTCTTGCGCTTTTTGAGAATTTTTTTGAACTCTTTCTATTTCTTCGTTGTACGCATCCGTTACTTGGCGGAGTTCCTGACTGTAACGATCGAATTTAGAATTGGCTTCTGTGAGCTGTTTCTTCAGGTCCAAAATCTCCAGCTGATTATCTAGTTTAGTGAATTCTCTAAGCTCATTGAAAGATTCTTCCAGTTCTTTGAGTTGTCTTTTAAGTACACTTGCACGTCTTCTTTGTATGGTCTTGTTTGCTGATCAACATTATATGATTTCTAGACATGTTCAATCTGTGCAGCTTCTTCGCTTTCATATTAATGTCAATAAGAGCATTTCATCACATTTTTGAATAAATGTGGTTCATCACAAATTGTAGAAATACTCTGAGCATTGACTATAAAATGGAATGGACTTGATCCGTGAGTATTCTCCGAGCAAATCGTCTCAAGTGCGTTTTTGATCGTTGCGCCCTGATTAGAAATAGTGCCAACAACGCACAAACCAAGTCGCTGCTAGTTTGTGATCACATGAACAATAATCGTTTTCAGATCTGGGATTCTTGTATCTTTTACTAGATAATAAGCCACAACCTGCTTATAATTTTTAAGTAAGGGCATGATTTCTGATAAATCACTTTTTCAGAGTTCTAGTTGATTTTGTTACCTCAGCAATTCAAGATTTATTAGCTGAAAATGTACACTGTGAGCACTGGGATCAGCCCTAAACTTTGTCCAAACCCTGCAATAATCGTAAACACTAAACAAGGGTAGACATATTTCTAGTTTAACTGCCTGAAGATTTTCTCTATGGTTTTATACGTAACTCTCCACCTATTATCTCATTTTGTACATGTTCTGGGAGAACTCAACTTGCTCCCTATAAAATGCAACGTCTTCCTGCACAGGTGGTTCTGGTTAAGTGCCAGCCTGCTTCGGGTTTGTAATTAGTTGTTGCAATTTTCTGATTTCGTCGTCCTTTTTCATAATCCAGATTTCGTTTTGGCATTCCAGTTCAGCCATTTGATCCTGAAGCTCTTTTATAGTAGAATCATTATGGCATCGTATATCTGAGATTTTAAATGAGTGGTTGACCTCACGTTGGTTACTCTCGTCCATCAGACTCTTTACGTCATTTCTCAGTTTAGATTCAAGTTCTTTTAGGAAGCCAATTTCATCTTGCAGTTCAGCAATGTGTGACATCGTTACATCAGTTTGTGCAGCAGCACTTAAAGAATGTTGCATATCTTCGTACTCAGCGTCAAGCATAGCTTCTAAGTCTGCAACCTTCTTTTTTGACTCAATATTTTGAGCTTCAAGAGATGGTTTAGGGCTCTCTGATCTTCCTAGGTTCTTCAGTTGAGTACGCAGCATCTCTATTTCTGACTCGTATGTTTTTAGTCTTTTTATTATTTTTTTCCAGAAAATCGAGTCTGTATTGCAAGTCGATGAAATTCTTGCGCTTTTTGAGAATTTTTTTGAACTCTTTCTATTTCTTCGTTGTACGCATCCGTTACTTGGCGGAGTTCCTGACTGTAACGATCGAATTTAGAATTGGCTTCTGTGAGCTGTTTCTTCAGGTCCAAAATCTCCAGCTGATTATCTAGTTTAGTGAATTCTCTAAGCTCATTGAAAGATTCTTCCAGTTCTTTGAGTTGTCTTTTAAGTACACTTGCACGTCTTCAGCTATCACAGATTCTGCTTCGGCTAGTGCCTCCTCATATGTCTCTTCTTGAATAGGCCTCATTTCACGTCCGGATGATTCTTCTTTGGGTGGATAATTTTTCAATGGCATATACCCTAGGGATGCTTTTTTAGGTGATACGTTGCCATAGTGTCCAAAAGTATGACGTCTTAATGTTTTTTTCGGTGTTGATGCCGAGGCTCCCATTTGAAAGCGCCCGACAATAGATACTTCCGTTTTTAGTCTTTCTATCTCGAGCAGATACTCTTGTTTGCTTTTATCCATCTCTTTTAGCTTAATTGCCTGCTTTTGAGCCGAGTTTCGAGATCGCGAGTCAAGTTCTGATATCCTTGAAGTGTCTCTTCTGTAGCTGACAAGATGTTTACTTTCGTTTTATTTTTGACAGTTTTAGTGCTTTGGGCGAATTCTGGTGTAGATCTAGTCTCCTCCTCTGCAGCTAAAGTAACATTCCCGATAATCAATGATTTGGCATTACCGCCAAGAGCCTGTGAGAGCAGTCTAGTCAATTTCGAATCGCGATAACTGATAAACTCCTTCCCCTCGCTTAGTTGCCTTATCACATTTCCTAATACTGACAAAGATTTGTTTATGTTAGCCCCCTCTTTAAGACGCTCACCAGCAGCTTTCGTCAGAGAAACTCTCTCAGAACCAGCTAAGTCCATTAAGTTAAGGTAGCTTATATGTACAGGTCCATCTTTCTGATTGGCATCTTTCGACTCCAGAATAATCCGGAAAATCGTGTGTGATCGAGATGACCTCTCATTCATGCGAGTAGCTGCAACTCGTCTGATCTTATTGCCCTGCATCATGTTCTCCATAACTTTATCAACATTGTCTACGACAGCTTCCCTTGCATCAAGCAGCACATTTCCTTTGATATCTTCTCTTATAGTTAAACCCTGATTGCTCTTATCCAGGAGGTCATTGATCTTTTCATTGTAGATTTCAATATAACTGCATCTAATCAAGTACCTCTTATCAACCTGGTCTGCCACATGCTGGAATAACTGATTGGATACTAATTGGAAAAGCCCAGGATCTGTTTTATTGCCCAAAATGGTGTGTGTTTTGCCAGAAGATGTTTGGCCATATGCAAATATTGTGGCATTGAAACCTTCCATGAAGGAATCGACTAAAGGTTTTACTACAGATCCATATACATCTGAATTTGTACATTCCTGCTTAAATACATGGTCGAATATATAAACCTCTCCATGGCGACTACTTTCATCGGCTTCCCATATGCAGTTTACTCTTACGTTCCAAAGACGCTCTAGACCATCGGCTACTTCGCGGTGGATCATTGGTCTGATCTTTGTGGCTACTTAATATTGTCGGAAGTCATTTTGGAAGCTTGAACTGAAATTTAATTAGAACTAGGGCTATTTCACGGGTTATAAAGAGGGGCACTTTTCATAATCCAGATTTCGTTTTGGCATTCCAGTTCAGCCATTTGATCCTGAAGCTCTTTTATAGTAGAATCATTATGGCATCGTATATCTGAGATTTTAAATGAGTGGTTGACCTCACGTTGGTTACTCTCGTCCATCAGACTCTTTACGTCATTTCTCAGTTTAGATTCAAGTTCTTTTAGGAAGCCAATTTCATCTTGCAGTTCAGCAATGTGTGACATCGTTACATCAGTTTGTGTAGCAGCACTTAAAGAATCTTGCATATCTTCGTACTCAGCGTCAAGCATAGCTTCTAAGTCTGCAACCTTCTTTTTTGACTCAATATTTTGAGCTTCAAGAGATGGTTTAGGGCTCTCTGATCTTCCTAGGTTCTTCAGTTGAGTACGCAGCATCTCTATTTCTGACTCGTATGTTTTTAGTCTTTTATTATTTTTTCCAGAAAATCGAGTCTGTATTGCAAGTCGATGAAATTCTTGCGCTTTTGAGAATTTTTTTGAACTCTTTCTATTTCTTCGTTGTACGCATCCGTTACTTGGCGGAGTTCCTGACTGTAACGATCGATTTTAGAATTGGCTTCTGTGAGCTGTTTCTTCAGTCCAAAATCTCCAGCTGATTATCTAGTTTAGTGAATTCTCTAAGCTCATTGAAAGATTCTTCCAGTTCTTTGCGTTGTCTTTTAAGTACACTTGCACGTCTTCTTGTATGGTCTTGTTTGCTGATCAACATTATATGATTTCTAGACATGTTCAATCTGTGCAGCTTCTTCACTTTCAGATTAATGTCAATAAGAGCATTTCATCCATTTTTGAATAAATGTGGTTCATCACAAATTGTAGAAACTCTGAGCATTGACTATAAAATGGAATGGACTTGATCCGTGAGTATTCTCCGAGCAAATCGTCTCAAGTGCGTTTTTGATCGTTGCGCCCTGATTAGAAATAGTGCCAACAACGCACAAACCAAGTCGCTGCTAGTTTGTGATCACGAACAATAATCGTTTTCAGATCTGGGATTCTTGTATCTTTTACTAGATAATAAGCCACAACCTGCTTATAATTTTTAAGTAAGGGCAATGATTTCTGATAAATCACTTTTTCAGAGTTCTAGTTGATTTTGTTAACTCAGAATTCAAGATTTATTAGCTGAAAATTGTACACTGTGAGCACGTGGGATCAGCCCTAAACTTTGTCCAAACCCTGCAATAATCGTAAACACTAAACAAGGGTAGACATATTTCTAGTTTAACTGCCTGAAGATTTTCTCTATGGTTTATACGTAACCTCCATCTATTATCTCATTTTTGTACATGTTCTGGGAGAACTCTACTTGCTCCCTATAAAATGCAACGTCTTCCTGCACAGCTGGTTCTGGTTAAGTGCCAGCCTGCTTCGGGTTTGTAATTAGTTGTTGCAATTTACCGATTTCGTCGTCATTTTTCATAATCCAGATTTCGTTTTGGCATTCCAGTTCAGCCATTTGATCCTGAAGCTCTTTTATAGTAGAATCATTATGGCATCGTATATCTGAGATTTTAAATGAGTGGTTGACCTCACGTTGGTTACTCTCGTCCATCAGACTCTTTACGTCATTTCTCAGTTTAGATTCAAGTTCTTTTAGGAAGCCAATTTCATCTTGCAGTTCAGCAATGTGTGACATCGTTACATCAGTTTGTGTAGCAGCACTTAAAGAATTGCATATCTTCGTACTCAGCGTCAAGCATAGCTTCTAAGTCTGCAACCTTCTTTTTTGACTCAATATTTTGAGCTTCAAGAGATGTTTAGGGCTCTCTGATCTTCCTAGGTTCTTCAGTTGAGTACGCAGCATCTCTATTTCTGACTCGTATGTTTTTAGTCTTTTTATTAATTTTTTCCAGAAAATCGAGTCTGTATTGCAAGTCGATGAAATTCTTGCGCTTTTTGAGAATTTTTTTGAACCTTTCTATTTCTTCGTTGTACGCATCCGTTACTTGGCGGAGTTCCTGACTGTAACGATCGATTTTAGAATTGGCTTCTGTGAGCTGTTTCTTCAGGTCCAAAATCTCCAGCTGATTATCTAGTTTAGTGAATTCTCTGAGCTCATTGAAAGATTCTTCCAGTTCTTTGAGTTGTCTTTTAAGTACACTTGCACGTCTTCAGTATCACAGATTCTGCTTCGGCTAGTGCCTCCTCATATGTCTCTTCTTGAATAGGCCTCATTTCACGTCCGGATGATTCTTCTTCGGGTGGATAATTTTTCAATGGCATATACCGTAGGGATGCTTTTTTAGGTGATACGTTGCCATAGTCTCCAAAAGTATGACGTCTTAATGTTTTTTTCGGTGTTGATGCCGAGGCTCCCATTTGGAAGCGCCCGACAATAGATACTTCCGTTTTTAGTCTTTCTATCTCGAGCAGATACTCTTGTTTGCTTTTCTCCATCTCTTCTAGCTTAATTGCCTGCTTTTTGAGCCGAGTTTCGAGATCGCGAGTCAAGTTCTGATATCCTTGAAGTGCCTCTTGTAGCTGACAAGATGTTTGCTTTCGGTTTATTTTTGACAGTGTTTTAGTGCTTTGGGCGAATTCTAGTGTAGATCTAGTCTCCTCCTCTGCAGCTAAGTAACATTCCCGATAATCAATGATTTGGCATTACTGCCAAGAGCCTGTGAGAGCAGTCTAGTCAATTTCGAATCGCGATAACTGATAAACTCCTTCCCCTCGCTTAGTTGCCTTATCACATTTCCTAATACTGACAAAGATTTGTTTATGTTAGCCCCCTCTTTAAGATGCTCACCAGCAGCTTTCGTCAGAGAAACTCTCTCAGAACCAGCTAAGTCCATTGAGTTAAGGTAGCTTATATGTACAGGTCCATCTTTCTGATTGGCATCTTTCGACTCCAGAATAATCCGGAAAATCGTGTGTGATCGAGATGACCTCTCATTCATGCGAATAGCTGCAACTCGTCTGATCTTATTGCCCTACATCATGTTCTCCATAACTTGATCAACATTGTCTACGACAGCTTCCCTTGCATCAAACAGCACATTTCCTTTGATATCTTCTTATAGTTAAACCCTGATTGCTCTTATCCAGGAGGTCATTGATCTTTTCATTGTAGATTTCAATATAACTGAATCTAATCAAGTACCTCTTATCAACCTGGTCTGCCACATGCTGGAATAACTGATTGGATACTAATTGGAAAAGCCCAGGATCTGTTTTATTGCCCAAAATGGTGTGTGTTTTGCCAGAAGATGTTTGGCCATATGCAAATATTGTTGCATTGAAACCTTCCATGAAGGAATCGACTAAAGGTTTTACTACAGATCCATATACATCTGAATTTGTACATTCCTGGTTAAATACATGGTCGAATATATAAACCTCTCCATGGCGACTACTTTCATCGGCTTCCCAAATGCAGTTTTCTCTTACGTTCCAAAGACGCTCTAGACCATCGGCTACTTCGCGGTGGATCATTGGTCTGATCTTTATGGCTATTTAATATTGTCGGAAGTCATTTTGGAAGCTTGAACTGAAATTTAATTAGAACTAGGGCTATTTCACGGGTTATAAAGAGGGGCAGATGTATCAGGTTGATACATTCTTTTTTTCCTCCTTTCCAGTATAGAAGATTTTTTTCTCTTGTAGGCTATGAATGCGGTCCGATAGTTTAGTAGAGCTACATTTACAGGGTGACTCAAAATCAAAGAAGAAACAGAATTGTTAAATTTCATATAGACTGTTATTGTTATTACAAAAAGAAGTTGAAGCAGCAGCAAATTCTCACAAATCTATAGATCCATCACTTTCAGCACCCGATTTTTCAACTTGAAAAATGCAGCTCGGTGAAGAATCACAAGGTAACTGTTGTCTATTCAGACAATACTCTTCTAAAAGCAACGCGAAGTTACCTAGTGCCTTACATGAATCGCCTTCATAATTCTTCATTATCAATGGAAAACTGAAATTGTTGATTATTACAGTTTTTAAAGCTGCAAATAAGCAGATGGGTTCGTGTTGGAAATCCCACGTCTAATCTCGCAAAACAGGTTATCCACCGGATCTTACTATCAACTTCTGAAATGCCATTACTGTTTTTAGCCATGTGTACAACAGGTTTGTACGCATAAAACGCTCAGGGGAACAATAAAATTTCGTCGCCTAATAGAACTTTCAGTCCCAGACTGAAAAAAAAAGGAATTTACAGAAGCTGGTTGGATACCAAATAGCACAAGGCCATCTTCTCGTTCTCTAACCAGTATTGTAATTTACACACTTCCGATCTAATGCATTAGCCTTCATAGTGTTATAAAAATAATATAGAATCTTATCAGGTTTCTTTGATTCCTCTACTATTTTGTTATCATGCTGCATAGATTGCTATACGAGAACATGTGTATTTGGTTTTGGAAGATACTACACTAAGGCTGTAGTGCTAGTGAACATAAACTTAGAAGTACCTGGCTGTGTTTCCTTCTTATTTGGAACTACATGTTGGGGTACTTGTTACTTATTTTTACGCTTCCTGCCGACATTGGTCAGTTGGTTGATGCGCAATTCTACATGTAATTCTACTGGTGTGATATTTCTGTTCGTATAGACGAAAGCATTGAGCAGGTAGTGGTGAGTCTTTGCATCATCAGTCCATACTTATTCGGTTTAGTTTTCTTGTAGGCACAGGAAGGACATCGGCCCACGAGCATCTCGTATTTTGTAGGGGACTCACCCGAAATATAAAATTTCGACAGTTCTCTATGAGTGTCTCGAAAATTTCACGTATTTGGAGAAATTTATCTGCATTTCTCGAGTCACAGGGTTATTATTTTCCAAATTGGTTGCCACGGACTTTAGTTCAGGTAAATGCGTAATAATTGTCGTCTGGATCGACCAGTTGCAGGCGCTCGTTTTGACCAATTGTACATGTTTTTTCCATAAGCATAGCGAGGTCGCCCATAGGAAGTTGTTCAGGTTGATCGCTAACAGCGTCGTCCTCGGCGTAGTCTATGTGTATTGTTCATCCGTCAACAACGAAAAAATCCATTGTGAAGGAAGTTCAAATCGTACACGCAACTGACATCCTCGGATCAAATTTGACCGCAAAGTCAACAAACCAACACTTGTGATGTTTAAATTAAACTGTGGTTTGAGGTATACGTGCTTATACCGTATGAGAAGTCACGGGACCCCCACCACATAACTGAGAAAGCTCGAATCATCCGACGATACCATTAAAGGATTAATTTCTATATTCTTAAACGAATCTATAAAATCAAAGTGGCTGGGTTTCAATTTACATAGCTCTTTGTATGGTCTTGTTTGCTGATCAACATTATTGCTTTCTAGACATGTTCAAGCTGTGCAGCTTCTTCACTTTCATATTAATGTCAATAAGAGCATTTCATCCATTTTTGAATAAATGTGGTTCATCAAAATTGTAGAAATACTCTGAGCATTGCTATAAAATGGAATGGACTTGATCCGTGAGTATTCTCCGAGCAAATCGTCTCAAGTGCGTTTTTGATCGTTGCGCCCTGATTACAAATAGTGCCAACGACGCACAAACCAAGTCGCTGCAGTTTGTGATCACATGAACAATAATCGTTTTCAGATCTGGGATTCTTGTATCTTTTACTAGATAATAAGCCACAACCTGCTTATAATTTTTACGAATTCCTCTTATCATGGAAGTAAGGGCATGATTTCTGATAAATCACTTTTACAGAGTTCTAGTTGATTTTGTTACCTCAGAATTCAAGATTTATTAGCTGAAAATTGTACACTGTGAGCGGTTACCAAGACTAGATTCACAATCTTAAGTCCTAGGTGCTATCGTGGTCCGTGGGATCAGCCCTAAACTTTGTCCAAACCCTGCAATAATCGTAAACACTAAACAAGGGTAGACATATTTCTAGTTTAACTGCCTGAAGATTTTCTCTATGGTTTATACGTAACTCTCCACCTATTATCTCATTTTTGTACATGTTCTGGGAGAACTCAACTTGCTCCCTATAAAATGCAACGTCTTCCTGCACAGGTGGTTCTGGTTAAGTGCCAGCCTGCTTCGGGTTTGTAATTAGTTGTTGCAATTTTCTGATTTCGTCGTCATTTTTCATAATCCAGATTTCGTTTTGGCATTCCAGTTCAGCCATTTGATCCTGAAGCTCTTTTATAGTAGAATCATTATGGCATCGTATATCTGAGATTTTAAATGAGTGGTTGACCTCACGTTGGTTACTCTCGTCCATCAGACTCTTTACGTCATTTCTCAGTTTAGATTCAAGTTCTTTTAGGAAGCCAATTTCATCTTGCAGTTCAGCAATGTGTGACATCGTTACATCAGTTTGTGTAGCAGCACTTAAATCTTGCATATCTTCACTCAGCGTCAAGCATAGCTTCTAAGTCTGCAACCTTCTTTTTTGACTCAATATTTTGAGCTTCAAGAGATGTTTAGGGCTCTCTGATCTTCCTAGGTTCTTCAGTTGAGTACGCAGCATCTCTATTTCTGACTCGTATGTTTTTAGTCTTTTTATATTTTTTTCCAGAAAATCGAGTCTGTATTGCAAGTCGATGAAATTCTTGCGCTTTTTGAGAATTTTTTTGAACCTTTCTATTTCTTCGTTGTACGCATCCGTTACTTGGCGGAGTTCCTGACTGTAACGATCGATTTTAGAATTGGCTTCTGTGAGCTGTTTCTTCAGGTCCAAAATCTCCAGCTGATTATCTAGTTTAGTGAATTCTCTAAGCTCATTGAAAGATTCTTCCAGTTCTTTGAGTTGTCTTTTAAGTACACTTGCACGTCTTCAGCTATCACAGATTCTGCTTCGGCTAGTGCCTCCTCATATGTCTCTTCTTGAATAGGCCTCATTTCACGTCCGGATGATTCTTCTTTGGGTGGATAATTTTTCAATGGCATATACCCTAGGGATGCTTTTTTAGGTGATACGTTGCCATAGTCCAAAAGTATGACGTCTTAATGTTTTTTTCGGTGTTGATGCCGAGGCTCCCATTTGAAAGCGCCCGACAATAGATACTTCCGTTTTTAGTCTTTCTATCTCGAGCAGATACTCTTGTTTGCTTTTCCATCTCTTAGCTTAATTGCCTGCTTTTTGAGCCGAGTTTCGAGATCGCGAGTCAAGTTCTGATATCCTTGAAGTGCTCTTCTGTAGCTGACAAGATGTTTACTTTCGTTTTATTTTTGACAGTTTTAGTGCTTTGGGCGAATTCTGGTGTAGATCTAGTCTCCTCTGCAGCTAAAGTAACATTCCCGATAATCAATGATTTGGCATTACCGCCAAGAGCCTGTGAGAGCAGTCTAGTCAATTTCGAATCGCGATAACTGATAAACTCCTTCCCCTCGCTTAGTTGCCTTATCACATTTCCTAATACTGACAAAGATTTGTTTATGTTAGCCCCCTCTTTAAGACGCTCACCAGCAGCTTTCGTCAGAGAAACTCTCTCAGAACCAGCTAAGTCCATTAAGTTAAGGTAGCTTATATGTACAGGTCCATCTTTCTGATTGGCATCTTTCGACTCCAGAATAATCCGGAAAATCGTGTGTGATCGAGATGACCTCTCATTCATGCGAGTAGCTGCAACTCGTCTGATCTTATTGCCCTGCATCATGTTCTCCATAACTTTATCAACATTGTCTACGACAGCTTCCCTTGCATCAAGCAGCACATTTCCTTTGATATCTTCTCTAGTTAAACCCTGATTGCTCTTATCCAGGAGGTCATTGATCTTTTCATTGTAGATTTCAATATAACTGCATCTAATCAAGTACCTCTTATCAACCTGGTCTGCCACATGCTGGAATAACTGATTGGATACTAATTGGAAAAGCCCAGGATCTGTTTTATTGCCCAAAATGGTGTGTGTTTTGCCAGAAGATGTTTGGCCATATGCAAATATTGTGGCATTGAAACCTTCCATGAAGGAATCGACTAAAGGTTTTACTACAGATCCATATACATCTGAATTTGTACATTCCTGATTAAATACATGGTCGAATATATAAACCTCTCCATGGCGACTACTTTCATCGGCTTCCCATATGCAGTTTACTCTTACGTTCCAAAGACGCTCTAGACCATCGGCTACTTCGCGGTGGATCATTGGTCTGATCTTTGGCTAC